TTTGAGTCGACTCAAAACTACGCTCCTTCCCCCCCCATTGGCTATCCCCCGCCTAGTTTTGAGTTTACTCAAAACTACGCTCCTTCCCCCCCCATTGGCTATCCCCCGCCTAGTTTTGAGTCGACTCAAAACTACGCTCCTTCCCCCCCCATTGGCTATCCCCCGCCTAGTTTTGAGTCGACTCAAAACTACGCTCCTTCCCCCCCCCATTGGCTATCCCCCGCCTAGTTTTGAGTCGACTCAAAACTACGCTCCTTCCCCCCCATTGGCTATCCCCCGCTTAGTTTTGAGTCGACTCAAAACTACGCTCCTTCCCCCCCCCATTGGCTATCCCCCGCCTAGTTTTGAGTCGACTCAAATCTACGCTCCTTCCCCCCCCCATTGGCTATCCCCCGCCTAGTTTTGAGTCGACTCAAAACTACGCTCCTTCCCCCCCCATTGGCTTTCCCCCACCTAGTTTTGAGTCGACTCAAAACTACGCTCCTTTCCCCCCCATTGGCTATCCCCCGCCTAGTTTTGAGTCGACTCAAAACTACGCTCCTTCCCCCCCCCTTGGCTATCCCCCGCCTAGTTTTGAGTCGACTCAAAACTACGCTCCTTCCCCCCCCCTTGGCTATCCCCCGCCTAGTTTTGAGTTGACTCAAAACTACGCTCCTCCCCCCCCCTTGGCTATCCCCCGCCTAGTTTTGAGTCGACTCAAAACGACGCTCCCCCCCCCCCCCTTGGCTATCCCCCGCCTAGTTTTGAGTCGACTCAAAACGACGCTCCTCCCCCCCCCTTGGATATCCCCCGCCTAGTTTTGAGTCGACTCAAAACTACGCTCCTTCCCCCCCCATTGGCTATCCCCCGCCTAGTTTTGAGTCGACTCAAAACTACGCTCCTTCCCCCCCCATTGGCTATCCCCCGCCTAGTTTTGAGTCGACTCAAAACTACGCTCCTTCCCCCCCCATTGGCTATCCCCCGCCTAGTTTTGAGTCGACTCAAAACTACGCTCCTTCCCCCCCCTTGGCTATCCCCCGCCTAGTTTTGAGTCGACTCAAAACTACGCTCCTTCCCCCCCCTTGGCTATCCCCCGCCTAGTTTTGAGTCGACTCAAAACTACGCTCCTTCCCCCCCCTTGGCTATCCCCCGCCTAGTTTTGAGTCGACTCAAAACTACGCTCCTTCCCCCCCCTTGGCTATCCCCCGCCTAGTTTTGAGTCGACTCAAAACTACGCTCCTTCCCCCCCCTTGGCTATCCCCCGCCTAGTTTTGAGTCGACTCAAAACTACGCTCCTTCCCCCCCCTTGGCTATCCCCCGCCTAGTTTTGAGTCGACTCAAAACTACGCTCCTTCCCCCCCCATTGGCTATCCCCCGCCTAGTTTTGAGTTGACTCAAAACTACGCTCCTTCCCCCCCCATTGGCTATCCCCCGCCTAGTTTTGAGTCGACTCAAAACTACGCTCCTTCCCCCCCCATTGGCTATCCCCCGCCTAGTTTTGAGTCGACTCAAAACTACGCTCCTTCCCCCCCCATTGGCTATCCCCCGCCTAGTTTTGAGTCGACTCAAAACTACGCTCCTTCCCCCCCATTGGCTATCCCCCGCTTAGTTTTGAGTCGACTCAAAACTACGCTCCTTCCCCCCCCCATTGGCTATCCCCCGCCTAGTTTTGAGTCGACTCAAATCTACGCTCCTTCCCCCCCCCATTGGCTATCCCCCGCCTAGTTTTGAGTCGACTCAAAACTACGCTCCTTCCCCCCCCATTGGCTTTCCCCCACCTAGTTTTGAGTCGACTCAAAACTACGCTCCTTTCCCCCCCATTGGCTATCCCCCGCCTAGTTTTGAGTCGACTCAAAACTACGCTCCTTCCCCCCCCCTTGGCTATCCCCCGCCTAGTTTTGAGTCGACTCAAAACGACGCTCCTCCCCCCCCTGGCTATCCCCCGCCTTCGTGCGACACGCCGACACACACTCCACCTCGTGACCCCCCTGTTGCTCCCTTTCCCCGCCCCTCTTTCTCAGCTCCACGGAGACACACAGCGTGCATCCCTCCCTCCCGCATCTCCCCCTTAGGCTTTCCACCGTCTTCGTTCTGCATGCCGACTCACGCGGCGTTGTGAACGCTGCTTTCCTCCCCACTGTTAGGGTGGTTCGCCACTGCCCTAGTGTCTACTGGCCTACGCGCCTGAACTAGGGACGGTAGATGAACTCTAGGAACGGTGGGAACTACGACCTAATGTGGGGAACCGATACCTAGAGCGATGGGGCTGTATGCTAAGTAGGTACGGGAGGAAAACGTGAGGAAAACGGGGAGAAACAGAATGTTGGAAGATTAGGGTTCGAGAAATGTCGAGAAGACATTTCCGAAGCCTAGAAATGTCCAACCGAAACCGAACCGTGTTCGGTGCGGAAGGGACAAATGGGTTTCGGTTCCGGTGACGGTTACCGAATTCGGTTACGCGTGCGACTCAGGCTGAAACGCGGATGACGCGTTACGCGAGGCGCACATCACAATTCGAAATGCTTAAATGTGTTTGTTTTCAATCATTGGGTGTACTTCTCTGTTTTGAGTGAAATCAGTCCACCGTCCACCTCTCCCTTCACCTCTCACCTTCCCTCCCTCCCTCCCTCCCTCCCTCCCTCCCTCCCTCCCTCCCTCCCTCCCTCCCTCCCTCCCGTGCCACACGACGACTCACATGCCACCCTGTGACCCCTGCTCACATGCCACCCTGTGACCCCTGCTCACATGCCACCCTGTGACCCCTGCTCACATGCCACCCTGTGACCCCTGCTCACATGCCACCCTGTGTCCCCTGCTCACATGCCACCCTGTGACCCCTGCTCGCATGCCACCCTGTGACCCCTGCTCACATGCCACCCTGTGACCCCTGCTCACATGCCACCCTGTGACCCCTGCTCACATGCCACCCTGTGACCCCTGCTCACATGCCACCCTGTGACCCCTGCTCACATGCCACCCTGTGACCCCTGCTCACATGCCACCCTGTGACCCCTGCTCACATGCCACCCTGTGACCCCTGCTCACATGCCACCCTGTGACCCCTGCTCACATGCCACCCTGTGACCCCTGCTCACATGCCACCCTGTGTCCCCTGCTCACATGCCACCCTGTGACCCCTGCTCGCATGCCACCCTGTGACCCCTGCTCACATGCCACCCTGTGACCCCTGCTCACATGCCACCCTGTGACCCCTGCTCACATGCCACCCTGTGACCCCTGCTCACATGCCACCCTGTGACCCCTGCTCACATGCCACCCTGTGACCCTGCTCACATGCCACCCTGTGACCCCTGCTCACATGCCACCCTGTGACCCCTGCTCACATGCCACCCTGTGACCCCTGCTCACATGCCACCCTGTGACCCCTGCTCACATGCCACCCTGTGACCCCTGCTCACATGCCACCCTGTGACCCCTGCTCACATACCACCCTGTGACCCCTGCTCACATGCCACCCTGTGACCCCTGCTCACATGCCACCCTGTGACCCCTGCTCACATGCCACCCTGTGACCCCTGCTCACATGCCACCCTGTGACCCCTGCTCACATGCCACCCTGTGACCCCTGCTCACATGCCATACCTTATACGCACGCACTCACACACGCATTCACGCGCGCTCGCTCACACACACATGCACGCACGCTACATACTCATGCACTCATGCACGCACGCTACGTACTCGTGCACTCATGCACGCACATGCCCGCGTGCGCGCACGCGCGCACACACACACACACACACACGCGCATGCACAGACACACTCACACTCCACTCCACTCCATGCCTCCACTCCATGCCTTTCTCTTCCCGCTCTCCCCAGCCTAACTGCACAGAGACAGCACACACACCTCCCCCTCATCTCAGTCTCTCCATCCTCTTTCATGCCTCTGCACCCCTGCTCCATTTTTCCCCATCCGCACAGAGATGGCGCGCGCGCGCGCACACACACACCCCTCACCTCTCTTTATATCTTCTCTAAGAACTTTTGCCCCTTTCCTATCCCCTACCCGCCACCCCTTCCCCCACCCCAGCTGCACGGAGAGACAACATGAGAATCCCTCCCCCACCTGCTCCCTTGGCTATCCACCATCTCTCGTGCCACACGATGACTCACATGCCACCCTGTGACCCCTGCTTTCCTCTCCGTTGGCTCCCCCCACCTCCCCAACCTTCCCCCCTCCCCAGCTCCACGGGAACACAGCACGAGCAGCTCTCCCCCACCTCCCTTTCCTTACCCCTCCCTCCCACCCCACGCATCCACCTCAACTCCACGGGAACACAGCACGAGCAGCTCTCCCCCACCTCCCTTTCCTTACCCCTCCCTCCCACCCCACGCATCCACCTCAACTCCACGGGAACACAGCACGAGCAGCTCTCCCCCACCTCTCCCCCTGGCTATCCACCATCTACGTTCTGCTACGTCGACTCACACGGGGTCCTGTGGACCCTGAATTTCTCCCCACACTGTCCCCCACCGCAGCTCCTCGGAGACACAGCACGAGCATCCCTCCCACATCTCCCCTCTTGCCTATCCACCATCTTCGTGCTTTAGGTTGATGCATGCACCACCCTGTGGACCCTGCTTCCCTTCATTCCCCCACGCTCTTTCCCCATCCTTCCTTCTCAGCTTCATGGCAACACAGCACGAGCATCCCTCTCCCACCTGCCCCTCTGGCTATCCACCATCTTCGTGCTTCACGCCAACCCACACGGCGTTTTGCAAACCCTGCTTCCCTTCCTCCCCATACCCACCTTTCCCACGCCTCCCCTCAACCCAGCTGCATGGAGAGACAGCGCGTGCAGCTCACCCCCACCTTCCCCCCTGGCTATCCACCATCTTCGTGCTTCACGCCGACTCACACGGCGTCGTGCAAACCCCTCTGCCCTCCTCCCTCGCCCCCTCCTCCGATTTCTCCTCCTCATCCTCCTCTTCCTCATCTCCACAACCTGACTGGATCCTTGTTGACGGCATGCAAGGGGGCAGGTGAGTGCAAGCCTTTACAGGGTCAGTACTAGCATGACCCCATTCACTCCCTCCTGCTTCTTCCTCTTCTTCTTCATCCTCCTCCTCCTCCTCCTCCTCCTCCTCCTCCTCCTCCTCCTCCTCCTCCTCCTCCTCCTCCTCCTCCTCCTACTCCTCCTCCTGCTTCCTCCTCCTCCTCCTCCTCCTCCTCCTCCTCCTCCTCCTCCTCCTCCTCCTCCTCCTCCTCCTCCTCCTCCTCCTCCTCCTCCTCCTCCTCCTCCTCCTTCTCCTCCTCCTCCTCCTCCTCCTCCTCCTCCTCCTACGCTTGTCCACAACCTGACTGGATCCTTATTAACGGCATGCAAGGAGGCAAGTGAGGGAAAGGGGCAGGTGTGGGCACATGGGCGGGTGGGGGCAAGGGAGTGGGTAAAAGGGCAGCGTTTATCCCCCCCTCCTCCTCCTCTTCCTCATCTCCACAACCTGACTGGATCCTTGTTGACGGCATGCAAGGAGGCAGGTGAGGGCATGCATGAAAGGGGCCAGCACTAGCACAACCCCCTTCACTCTCTTCAGTTTCCTCCGCCTCTTCTTTTGGTGGGGGTTAGCATGCACTAGCAGGATCCTCATTGACGGCATGCTGCTGATCGTTTTTTAGAATTCTCAAAAACAGTCGGGGGCAGGTGGGGGCAAGGGGGCAGGAGGGGGCGGGTGGGGGCAAGGGGTCAGGTGGGGGCAAGGGGGCGGGTGGGGGCAAGGGGTCAGGTGGGGGCAAGGGGGCAGGTGGGGGCAATGTGGCGCGTGGGGGCAAGGGGGGGGGGGGCAAGGGGGGGGAGGGCAAGGGGGGGGGGCAAGGGGGGGGCGGGTGGGGGCAAGGGGGCGGGTGGGGGCAAGGGGTCAGGTGGGGGCAAGGGGGCAGGTGGGGGCAAGGGGGCAGGTGGGGGCAAGGGGGCAGGTGGGGGCAATGTGGCGCGTGGGGGCAAGGGGGGTGGGCAAGGGGGGGGCGGGTGGGGGCAAGGGGGCGGGTGGGGGCAAGGGGGCGGGTGGGGGCAAGGGGGCGGGTGGGGCCAAGCCCACATGGCAGCAGCATTTTTGTCTGATTTGGATATTGCTTCGTTAGCCTTTCTACACTTCATTCCCCCTATCCACATCTCTTCTTCCTCTTCTTCCCCATGCTCACAACCCAAGTCAATTCTTTTTTGCCGCATGGAAAGCAGATGTCTATGTGCCAATTAAGCTCCACAGCAGATGTCAATTCTTTTTCATCATTTTCTGTTGCTTCTGCGATCCTTCCCACTCCTCGCTTCGGACTTCCACCCACTCCCTTCCTGTCCTGTCTCTTCCCGGAACGTGCTTCCCATGTTTCTTTTTGTCCACCACAGTGGAGAGCGGTTCGATTGGTCCAATCTGAAAGTGCCAGCTGGCGAGAGCAGGAGAGGTTGGATTTTAGCAGGAGGTCTTAATGCGGAGAACGTGGCAGAGGCGGCTACAGTGCTCGCCCCTTCAGTTGTAGATGTGTCGAGCGGGGTTACAAAGGAGGATGGGATTCAGAAGGATCATGCGAAAGTTGCTTTGTTCCTAAAACATGTCATGGCTGACTAGTTCTGTACTAGTGTAACTCTTCGAGTTAATGGATAATGTTTTCCGTATTCATTTATCTGGACATGCAGATCCCCTGAATAGAAACCCCCAGGTCAATAATACAAGGAGGCGTCTTGTATACGCACGACCAACTATCAAACCCCCTACAGATGTGCAGACATGTTTAGAACCCCCCGCCTCCGTTCACTTTCTCGTACTGGTATGGTATTTATTTCTCTATTTTGATCCACCATATTCATGATCAGCTTCAATAATGTTCTGCGACATTTTGGAAGAAGCTCTAATTTTAGGTGTAGACTCTTGTTACGGGTGCTGTTAGGCCCGCTGGCCTAAATCCGCTAAAGAATTAGCGGGGTCGACTAAGTCGAGGATGAAGCGCGGCGGAAGACTTTGGCGAAAGAACTACTAGCGAAATAGGCGAAGGAGTTACTGAGTAATTGAAGAAGAGTTGAATGAGAATTGGTTGATATGAGGGAATACAAGCAAGGTTTATATACCGTAAATTGCCACCTATAGGACCCGGGGGACTCTCTACAAATGCTTGAAAAAGTGCTAGGGGGACCCTCTGGCGGATGCAAAATTTTAAGACCCGGGGTACACTTATTTATCAACTATCATTCTGTTCTTTAGGGTGTACGGCTTAATTCGGGGCGGGGGGGTCTTATATTTATAACGAAAAACGGCATTCGTGGGCGGATTTCGCGCGAGCGGCGCGTCAGATCTGTGTCAGAATTCGAGTCTGACACAAACAAAGTGTCAGAATTCGAGTCTGACACAAAAAATCGTGTCAGAATTCAAGTTTCTGTCAATAAAAGCTGACTCACAATAGCAATTACAACTACTGTATACAGCATAGGGGGTTCTTATGATGATTAGGGGCAAAAAGGGGGTCCTCACAAATCCTGCCCAAATAAGAGTCCCTCTGCTCCTTCAAGAGTCCCGGGGACCCTCTTACCGGCGGGTCCTATAGGTGGCACTTTACGGTACTCAACATGCAAGAAACAAGGTTGGAAAGTGGATTGTGGGACCAAGAATTGTAGTGCAAGAAAAGTAGAGTGCCACGTGGCACTAGAGAATCTGAGAAGATAAGGATAAGGGTGACTTGGATGGGTTGGGAAAGTACTGTTCAAAGGGAACAGTAAATCCCCCTTTAACACTACCCCCCTCCCAAGGAGGCGACGTCCGCGGCGCCTGCAGACTGAAGGTACGCTCGGAGACAAGCGTTGTCGGGAGATAGCGAGGACGAAGGAACCCAGCTGTCGTCGGCTGCATCGTAACCACGCCAACGAACCAAGAAGTCGATGAAAGAGACACCTCCCTGCAGACGGCGACGGTGCCTGAGGATGCGCTGGATCTGGTAGTCGGGCTCGTCGGTGTCAACAGCTACCGGCAGTGGAGTGCGATCACGGCCCGAGAAGGTGGTGTTGGGATCAGTGTAAGGCCGAAGGAGAGACACGTGGAATGATGGGTGCATGCGGAAATGAGCGGGAAGGCGAAGGCGGTATGCGACTGGACCAAGTGCGCGCTCAATGACGAATGGACCAATGAAACGTGGGCGAAGCTTGCTGTCCTGTGGCAGTCGGAGGTTGCGGCTATCGAGAAGGACACGGTCACCAACTGAAAACGACACCTCACGACGACTGCGGTTGGTGGTGCGTGCCATGCGTGCATTTGCGAGCTCAAGGTGCTTCCTCACGTGATCATGAATGAAAGTGAGATGCTGGTGGAAGTTGTCCGCACGAGGGACGGTGGGTGTGAGATCGACACGAGTGGGGACATTGGGGTGCTGACCGTACAGTGCAAAGAACGGTGACATGCCTGTGGCGGAATGATGCGTGTTGTTGTAGGCGAACTCAGCCATGCTCAGCTTCTTGTCCCATGCTGCTGCGTCGTGCATCGTGATGCTGCGAAGGATCTGCTCCAAGGTCTGGTTCACGCGCTCAGTCTGTCCGTCTGTCTCTGGATGGTACGCAGACGACATGGCTAAGCGAGTCCCAAACAGTGCGAAAAGCTGCTTCCAGAACTTCGAGGTGAATCTAGGGTCGCGATCGGAAATGATGGAATCGGGAACCCCGTGCAGTCGAACTACGTTATCTACAAACAGCGTCGCGGCTTCCTCTGCTGTGACCTGGCCGTGCGTGGGGATGAAGTGCGCTGCTCGAGAAAACTTGTCGACTACAACGAAGATGGCGTCGTGACCCCTAACTGTGCGCGGTAATGCCATGATGAAATCCATGGTAACTACCTGCCAAGGGCGGTCGGGCGGTGGAATCGGCTGCAAAAGTCCTGCCTTGCGCTGTCGCGAGGACTTCGTACGCTGACACGTGTCACACGAGCGAATGTAATCCTCTACGTCTGCTGCAAGCCCTGGCCAAAAGTACGTGCGACTAAGCGTCTTAGCCGTCTTGTCTGCTCCGAAGTGACCCGCACTAACTACATCGTGCGCCTCTGAGAGAAGGAGCTGTCGAAGAGGGCGGTAGGCTGGAACCCAAATCCGTGTGGTGCCCTTCCGTATGTAAACACTACCCTGCACCTCTGCTCCTGCGGGCGGTTGCGGTGTGAAGTCGGGATCTACTGTGTAACCGTGCTCGAAGAGTGCTGTGAGAAGTGGATGGCCTGCAGTGACTGTGAGGCTAGCGAGCTGACAACTAGGGCGAGTGAGCGGATCTGCTGGGTTGCGCACGCCTGGCTTGTACTCTATCCTGTAATGAAAGCTCCCCTCCATGAACTCCATCCATCTAGCCTGGCGACGACTCAGCTGCGGTTGCGACTTGAGAAAGCGAAGCGAGCAGTGGTCCGTGCGTATAACACTGTCTGCCCCCTCTAGGTAGCACCTCCACACCTTATACGCATGGATGATCGCTAGCGCCTCCTTGTCGTGTATCGGATAGTTCAGTTCCGCTCCCCTAAGCTTACGCGACTCGTACGCGATCGGCTGCAACCCGCGTCCCTGGTCCTGAAGAAGGACTGCACCTATGGCCTGATCGAAAGCGTCGGTCACTACAACGTACGGGCGAGTGGGATCGGGGTACGACAGTGTCGGTGAAGACGTGAGCGACTGCTTCATCTGCTCGAACGCCTGCTGCTGCGCTGGACCCCAAACGTACTCTACGCCCTTCCGAAGTAGGTCGGTGAGTGGACTAGCGATGGAAGCGTAACCCTGAACGAAACGACGGTAATAATTCGCGAAACCGAGGAAGCTCTGCAACTCCTTGACCGAGATCGGTGCCACCCAATCCTGTACGGCTGCGATCTTCTTCGGGTCGGTCCTAACGCCACTAGCGGAAACGACGTGACCTAGAAACTCGACCTCGGGGAGAAAGAACTCGCACTTCGACTGCTTCGCGTACAGCTTCTCCCTCCGCAAGACCTCAAAGACCCTCTGCAAGTGCTGCACGTGCTCCTCTTTCGACTTGGAAAAGATGAGTATGTCGTCTAGGTAAACGACAACGAACGAACCTAGGAACTCGGAGAGGACGGTGTTCATAAGCGTCTGGAACGTCGCTGGGGCGTTGGTCAGTCCGAACGGTAGAACCCTAAACTCGTACAACCCCTGCTTCGTACGAAACGCCGTCTTGTGCTGGTCCTCTGGAACTACGCGAATCTGGTGGTAACCCGAACGAAGGTCGATCTTGGAGAAGACTCTAGCGCCCTGCACTGCATCTAGAAGATCCTCTACTCTCGGCACCGGGAATCTGTTCTTGACGGTGGCGGCGTTCAGTGCGCGGTAATCTATGCACATCCGTAACCCTCCGTCTTTCTTAGGCGCGAAAAGGATCGGTGCGGCCCAAGGCGATCTAGATGGCTGTATGAACCCCTGTGCGAGAAAGTGCCTAACCTGCTGCGTCATCTCCTCTGTCTCTGCTGGACTCAACCTCCACTGCGGCTTTGCTACTGGCCTGCTCCCCGGCTCCAACTCTATTCGATGGTCGACTGCTCGGCTAGGAGGTAACCCTGGGGGCAACTCGTCAGGGAAGACGTCTGCAAACTCTGCTTATAGTGCACTCACCTCAGCAGGAAGAGTCGCCTTCTCACTAACTGCTGCGCTCCCTCCTTTCCCCTCCTCAGCTTCCACCTCCTCAAGGAAAACCGCGAAGATCCGTGCCGCTCGCTTCACCAGCTGTCGCACACGAACAGCATTGATGATCGCTGTGGATGATGTGGCCCCATCGCTCCACTGTGGCAGCTCCCGGAACTCGCCATCTACCTTGACGCTGCAGCTTCCCTGAGCCCAATCGAACTGAGTCGAAACCGTCCGCAACCAATCTCTACCGAAGATGAAGTCGTAGCCGTCCAGCGTCACAGAGTCGAAGTCACGCCTAACTGTGATCGGTCCTAGCACTACGCGCAACTTGCGAATGACTGGTCCTATGTGGAGAGGCGTCCCATCTATCATGCGAGCGTCCTTGAAGTTGACTGAGGAATCTGCTTCAAGATGGAGACGGCTAACTAATGAAGACGAAACGAACGAGTGGCTAGCTCCGCTGTCGACAAGAACCTTAACAGGAACTCCGCGAAGCTTCCCTAGAAGCACGACTGGTCGGTCAACAGTGTCTACCTCGTTCTCCGTAGATGACTGCTGCAAGGCCGTCTCCTCTACGTTGGTAGACGTGGCGGGTACGGGAACCTCCACGCCAGCTAGCGACCCGCTACCTACTGGCGGTTTCCGTTTCCCTGCTGCCGCTCCTTGAACTGTGGGCAGTCCCGCTTCATGTGTCCCGGCTTTTTGCAGTAGTGACAGTTCCCCCTAAATCCGTTGCGCTGTGAGCCGTCACTGTTAACTGCACCAATCTCCATGGGCGACGGTCCGTCCCTCGATCGAGCGTCGTTGATCGGTCTGTTGTATCCCCTATCGCGATCGTCACGACCCCGTCGGCTTCGTACTGCGTCGACGCGTTCTGCTGCTGCGACTACTGACTCGAAGGTGGACAACCCGTGAATCGCAATAATCTCCGCTATGTCCGGCTTCAACCCTTCGAGGTAGCGATCGCGCATCTCTGCTTCCGTGATGTCGTCTATCTCGTTGCAGATGCTCAAGAACCGTCGTGTGTACTCCTGGACGTTTCCTATCTGTCGGAAATGACGCAGACGCTTCCTAGCAGCTTCGGAGGCGTTCACCAAATCGAACCTACTTTTCAGCGCCGCTTCAAATCCTTCCCATGTCGTCGGAACCGTGGTAACACCCAAAGCTAAACTCCCTAAGCTCGAAGTTGCAGCTGCATGCCCCACGCCC